GATTATAACTTTGGAAAAGAAATTAGGGTATACAGGAAGAGAGCAGCTGGTCACACAAGAGGTGCCAAAGCTCAGGATTTGGTATCCTAGATTTCAACTTGTGACACCAGAGGCGGGGCCCCTGAAAAGGGACAACGTGTGCCACAGAAAACTGAGACGAAGGTTTCAGGCAACACCTGACCACAAGGGAGTTATTTTGAAATTTGAGATTAGGGAGTGACACTCTTCAGCACAAACATAAACAAACAAAATTGTGAACTAGATCATGCAGAGGATATCATATGAGGCACAGAAGGATAGATGGTAGTGGAGAAGGATCTCCACAGTGAATATTTTAGCATCTCATGAGAGGCTCACAAGTTTGTTTTTTAATTAAATTTTAAATTTTACTTTAAGTTCCGGGATACATGTACAGAATGTGCAGGTTTGTTACATGTGCCATGGTGGTTTGCTGTACCTATCAACCCATCATCTAGGTTTTAAGCCCCGCATGCTTTAGGTATTTGTCCTAACGCAGGCATTTTTTAAAGGCTAAATTAAGTTAGGAATTCTACATAGTAGATTCTACTCTTTGAGAACTACTTAGTGCACATTAGCATAGTAAAAGCCTTGGGAAAACCCACAAGGAAAGCAATTTATCTGTGTTTAACCCAGAGTTTGCCATCATTGTTAGGCCACTTAAGTATAATACTTATGCCTCCATTCTACCTTACAACAACAATGGAACATAAATGTTCCAACAGACTAGTTGAAAAAACCTGGATCTACACTAAGGCACACAGTATTGACAACAACAACAAAAGGCAAAGGCAACAAAAAAACTTCACAAAACCAAAACAAAGTATGGGAAATACAACAAACAAGAAACAATAATGGAGGTAAATATCATCTCACAGAGCAGCCAGGACTTTGGAGTATGGGATTTAGGATTAGAGTATAACAGTATAATGGTATATTTGGGATAAAAGGAACAAATTCAATGTAATGATCTCAAGTAGCACTTCCCATGAAGAAGGTAAACAGAGAAATTCATAAAGGTGGGAGCAGAATCACGGTGTGGGGAACATTTGGTGATGATGAAAGGGGAGGGAAGTGGAAGAGGCGTCGCTGGGGAAGTGCACGACAGTGCATCTGAAAGGTGTGCTACCACAGTAATGAGGGATTTGATTTCTTGGGAAACCCTTTTGATAAAATCAGAGGATATAAAAATTTTACGCCTTGCTTTGCTGATAATTTTAATCTCTCAATAAATTGAAGAAGCAGTGAGGAAAGGGATTTAGTGTCAGTTTAATTTCAACAAATATGGGAAGAGTGGTTGGTTATTTAGAAATATCAGAAACTTTGGGAGAAAGCCAAGTACTCATAAAATCCAGCCTCTCCATAATCCTGTCAGAAATGTTTTAAAGAGGATTTCTTGGAAGGAAGGTTATACTAAATAATCTTTAAGTCCCTTCTGAAACATTAAAAGGCTGCCTCTAACATTCTGCATTCACAGTGAAGAACTCCAGAGGTGGCCAGCATGACACCTGAGCAAGCAGTGGCATCCGTGGCTCTGTGGCCATGTGGAAAATAAACAATAGTGGGGCACACCAGATATAGTCAAAAGGGCATCAGATATGTCATGTAAACATACCATAGAACTATAAGAACTGAAACAATGTGGTCTTTGAATAAAAATAGATAAATCAGTAGTACAGAATAGATACTTCAGAAACAGATAAAAATATGCCTAAGAATTTAATTTCCAATAAAAGGCAGATTTAAGCCAATGGGGGCATGGAAAATAGGGAATATAACAACTTCCAGAGTGGGCAAACCTTTCTGCATTTAGAAATGGAATAAAGAACTCATAAACGGAAAATTAAATATAAAAATCATAAAAAAGAACTAACATTAGGAGGCAAAACCCGGACCAGATAAACATTTTCAGGAAATATGAAGTCCAAGGATTAAAATGTTTAACAAATGCCCAAATATAAACAACAACAACAACAACAAAATTACCAAGTATCCATTTATCAGAGAATAATTATTTGCAAAAGAGAAAATATGAATAGAAAATGAAGGAGAATAAGGAAATAAACAAGGGTAGTTATAGAATAATTTAAGATAAAATAATAGGATGCCATTTTTGCATATCAAATTAGTAAATATTAAGTCCATATGTATATTTTGGGAATTAATCGACCAGTACTTAGCAAGAAACTTGAAAATGCTCATTTCTTTTGACCTACTAGTTCCACATGTAGGAGCCTATCCAATGGAAATAATTCTAACAGCTAAAAAGCCCCATCCATAAAAATGTCTACTGCAATGTTTTAAAGCAAAATGTTACTTGCTTTAAAAAAAGCAAAAAGGAGAAAGGAAGAAATAAGAACAAAGGAGTAAGAAGACTATTTAATGTATGCTTACCAGATGGAGGTTATATAAATTATCCCATTTAAATCTCAGCAGTTCCATGAAATAGATATGATCACCATTTTATAGAAAAGGTAAGATGTTTTTGCATGCTCAGGGAAACTAAGTTCTTTAAGGAAACTTGGCTAGTTAACAGTGAAAAAATGAAAACAGCCTAAATGTAAATAGTAGAATGGTTAAGTAATCTGGAGATTTGATGAATTATTTTAAAAATTTTAATATAAAAGAATACAATGGAAAAATAGTTTAGGATGGCCGGGTGCGGTGGCTCAAGCCTGTAATCCCAGCACTTTGGGAGGCCGAGACGGGCGGATCACGAGGTCAGGAGATCGAGACCATCCTGGCAAACACAGTGAAACCCCGTCTCTACTAAAAAATACAAAAAACTAGCCGGGCGAGGTGGCGGGCGCCTGTAGTCCCAGCTACTCGGGAGGCTGAGGCAGGAGAATGGCGTAAACCCGGGAGGCAGAGCTTGCAGTGAGCGGAGATCCGGCCACGGCACTCCAGCCTGGGCGACAGAGCCAGACTCCGTCTCAAAAAAAAAAAAAAAAAATTGTTTAGGTAAGATGTTAAAATAGTTGGCTGGTGGCCCTGAGAACAAAGCAAAGTGCAGTTAAATTATCAGGCTGTGTAAATGATGAAGGAAAGCCCAGAAAGACCCTGAAAGGCTCAAAAACAGTTTAAGCAATTTGGCTAACACAGGAGATAGAAAAAGTAATTCGGGGCAGATACGGTAAATCTTCTATAACGAGTAGGGCTGTAATTCTTTTCATGGCAAGTTGCTGGGAAAATCGTAAATTGGTCACGGTGAAAACGTCAGAAGACTCAAAATCACAAGAAAAAAATAATGAATTAGGAAGGTTTTGGCTTACTCTAGAAGTCGTACAACATTTTCTGAGAGAAGTAGGAGGTGAGACAAGAGTAAGTAACTTCTGCTTTCTGAATATTTCAATTAGGCAACTGGGGAAACTTGGGTGGAAAAATAGAAATCTTTACTCTCAAGTTATTAGAAGAAAGTATCTGTCTAGGTAAGCTTTAGGGAAAAGGGGCCTGGGATAAACACACGTTCAAGCCATAGAAAATGTCATTTATGTATACCCACCTCCCTAGAGCAGACTAATCTTCAATTGTATGAATTTGATAGCATTTTGAAGAATTTAATAAATATCCTAAATGTAATGTTTTAAAACTCAGCCTTTGTATTTCCTTTGTCTCCTACTTTCCCTAGTCTCTTATCCATTTTCATGTTCTTTCTTGTTATATTAAAAAAGAAACCATATATATATGTGTGTGTATGTATGTATACACATATACACATACACACACACATATATATTACTATAATTAATTTGCAATTTTTCATTTATGGCCACTATTGACCAAAAAGAAACAACAAAAAACAAATGCTTGGTCAACTCAGCATAAAGTACACAGGTATGTGGGAGTAAAATTTAGCAACATTCCAAAAGCGATTGGTTTCTACTTAATGAACACCATCTACCCTCACCTACCTTGATGGCCAAGAGTGAAGTTTTCTTCTGCCATTATAACAATGACTACTGCATAATGCCTGGTTGTCACCTCCCCACTATAAATTCTGAGAGGGCAGACCATACCTGTCTTGTTTACTGCGGGAGCCCCTGCACCAGGACAGCGGTTCAATGAATATTTGTTGAATGAATGAATGAGTGAGTGCAGATATAAATCCTACTCATTTCTCCAGACTTAGCGCAAGCCCCACCTTCCTGATAACATCTTTTCTCAAAGCCCCAGTGACTGATCTGATTACTACATTACCAGTCTGCACCACTATTAACACACCTGACTCTACACATCATTTTTATCATTGTTTTACAGGTGTTAGTGTTTTGTTTTTTCAATTTAGAGAGAAAGGCTCTTCAAAGACACTTATATACATATATATTTATTCTACTTCTCAAAGCACTTTTTACGGGGCATATGTAAAATCCTCAGCAAACACCTGTTAAATTCAATGATTAAATCTTTTAGATGACTTTTGACTTTGTGATATTTCTAAACATTTTCTCTACTGAATGCATGCATTGTATTATGATTCCACCACGTGGTGGACAGAAAACAGGGAATTTAGTGTCACCTGAGCTGAGTTTATAGCTCTGCCACTTCAATGTGGAAAAGGCACCTAAACTCTGCTCTTCTGTTTCTCTATTTGTAAAATGGAAAAATTAACAAGAGCAATAACAACAAGAAATATCTACCTATCATAAAGGGAAGACAGTGCAATCAAATGGGATAATGTAGGTGAATGAGTTTTGCAAATTGGAAAACAAATATTAGCCATTCTATTTACCAATTTTAAGAAATGCAATTGATGTTGCAAGACTGTGTATAGCAGTAATAGTTAGCATGTTTTTTCTGAGAACAGCTATTAGGTACAAGAGAAAGGTGATGAGGAAAAGAATCTCAAGTACAACTTGCCAAACATGCCCCAGTCATAAATAAAAGACCATGTCCAACACTCGCAGTGCAGAGATTACCAGGCACCTGTCACCTACACCCTTCGGTACTGCTGCAAGCATCTCTGAAACCAGGAGAAAGCTTACCAGACACGAGCTGCTGTCCAGGCAACCCCACGGGAACCATGCCCAGGTTATTCATGGCTGTAGCCCAGGCTGTGGGATCTGTCACGGACATGTTGAGCTGGGTCGTGTCTATTGCTATACTCCCCAAACCATCAGCTGCTGTGGGGAAAAACACACCATGATTTAGAGTTCATAGGCAAGGGTGTTTGTTTTAAAGAAAATCACATTTCTAGAGATGGGAGGCTTCATTTAGCACATTCCCAAACTACACAAAAATAAAAAACTATAATCTACAGCAATGTTTTCTCCAGACATAAACATAAAGTGTTTCCAAATACTTTCTGGGAGAAAACTTAATGACATGTAGTTTATATTATACACAGCATGCTATTAAGGAGATACCCCTGGAAAAAAATTGAAGAATTGTTTCTTTCTCCCAGTGAAACAACATTAGTTAAGTCACAAGGCTGAGAGGCAAAGCAGTAATACTCTCTTGGTAAAACAAGTTAATTGGCTTACTGTTTCTAGGTGTAATTCTTGAGCAGGCAGGCCTTCTATCTAATAAGAAAATCGTTGTCAAGCAGGAGAACTGGTCCTGACTGAATTTATTAAGTGTTACCTCCTAACCTATTCCCTCCTTTACAAACTTTTACATTATTACATTAAGAAAATGCAGGTGTCTACCTAAAGTGACTTTTCTGAAGGATTTCTAAATAAATAAACTTTGAAAACAAGTAGCACAAAGCTTAAGAAAACCCAAAACAAAACAGAAAAATGTGTCCACTTTGACTTAGTGCTCTTTCATTGTTACTAGTTCTACAGACTGATTTCTTCAAGGGTCCAGGCTCCTGGTTCAATGCATATTTTTCAAGGTGGGGCAAGTTTTCCACTAAGAACTCAAAAAAGCCTTGTTTGTGTCCTGTGCTGGCCACTGGCATTTACCTGCAGCCATCATCTGAGGAAGCTCCTGGGGAAGCTGGGTGATGTTCTCACCTCCACCTGCATCTACCATTGAATTATGAGCGTCCAGCGGGGCAGGAGCACTTTGATGGCTGAGTGCAGGGTCCCCTTGGAGGTCATCAGATTCTGCAAAACGGGACAGAAGTGTGGTGAGAAACCTTAATAGTTAACTGAGATAAAACGTCAAGGAGCAAACTGTTATCTATTCAAAATAAAAAACAAAGACCGATTTCCAGTCTCGGGCACAGAAGAAAGGCTGCTTCCCACGGCTCAGCGGCTGTCTTGTGGCTCAGTTATTAGAGCCCTGTGAGATGTGTGGGCCAACTCATGGAATCACTAGGAGCCGGGGCTGGCTGAATAAACAGCGCCATTTGTGAGTGCCTCAAAGGCCTTGCGAACTGAAGCACCTTCACAAATGGGGGCTTATCAGTCTCTGCACAGCCTCTTCCACACACGCTAGACATCAATGGAGAGGGCAGAATCAGGGCTAAAGAAGATTTTTTTTAAGTTAAAAAATTAATTGATGCTGTTATTTTGGAAGATGGTCGTCTGTGAAATGTATTCAGAGAGGATCAAAAGTTGGGAGGAGGAAGAAAAAAGCAAGAACCCATTCACCATGCAGCTGGAAAAGGAGGGTACCTAAATTACAATAGTCCGGAAAGGCAAAAGAGAAGAATGGCATGCTGTCCACAAAGGGAGATCTAGAGGGCGCTAGGGAGGCAAAGGAAGAGCATTTGGTTTTTTTCAGCTCATTGGAAAGATAATTTAACTGGCCACAAGTTTTTTGGTTTGAATTTTCCTTAGAATTGCCCAGCTTATATATATATACACACACATATATATAAAAAATATATATTATATATAATAAAATATATTCTATATTATAATTATAATTTAATGTAATAATTATATATATAACTATCAATATACTACATATATAAAAAGACTATACTTAATAGTATACAACTATGTACTAAATATATTAACATACTTATCTAATAAATATAAGTAACAATTAAACATTAAAGTTACAAAGTTCTTCTCAATCTCACACAATTTATAAAATGCTATGCCTTCTCTCCACCCTTAGAAATGCAAAAACATAGAGCTTTCACATATATTTTCAGTGTACTTTCACCAGTTCAAAACTGGTGACATGACAAGTTTGATCTTATGTAGATTAGACATAACAACTAAGTCTAAATATTTATTTTTATTTTAGTATAAATTTAGAAGTTTTTCTAAACTATGTTCCTGTTAACGATTTTATAATTAGATCTTATGGTTTGAAGTTTGAACCTTTTATGGCATCTCTAATGTGAAGTTTGAACCTTTAATGGCATGTCTTTTTGTTTCATTCTTAGGTATAAGAATCAGTAATTCCTTGAGTACTGTACTGTCAAAAAGAACTTCTGATCAGTTGAGCAGAAGTTTAATTCAAATGGAAGCTAAGGGTTCAATTCTCAAGGATAGGTGAATAATGAGCAAATAGTTTTTATGGTCTCAACAAATCCCTATCCCTCAACTATAGGGGTATGTAAGATAGTGTGGAATTTTTTTCCAATTGTCTATCAGGAAGACGAATCATCATCATCATCCAACAGTGAATGATTCTAACTTTGGGAGCAAATTGTACTGAGAAGAAATATTTTATTCCTTCCCACTATACTATCCAAATGAACTCAGACCCTGCATGTGTATTGTGCATCGATTACCTTAGGCTATGAGTGCCATCAGACAAAGAGATTCTCACCATAGAAAATAAATTCAATAGCATAAGAAATGCAGAGCTAACCTAAATGTCTGGTCCATTCACCAACGATCTTTCTATGATGAAATCTCAAAGCACTTTTCTCTCTCCACTTCGAACCATTTCAGAGTAGCTTGGCAGAGTCAGGCTAGAATGTGTTCATTCTTTTGTCCAAATGGCCCTGTAGCAGAGCTGTTTCGGATCTTTGCAAGGTCACTATTTGTCTTACTTATCTCCCCAAATGAAGTTTAGCTGGCTAGCCTCCTTCTGCCTCAGATTCTTCCCAAATGGGCATTAATCACACATTTTTTTTTCTCTCTAATGACTGCAGTTCTGGAACACTGTATCAGAGAACATCCCTCTACTTTGTAGGCTCATGACTTGTGCCTGACCCACCACATTTCACCTTGACTTTTTGCTATACTGTTTTAGGGATGGTTTTAGTTTTCCTTGACTCCATAACAGTCTGTTCCAATGGGAGTTTTCACTTTAGTGATTACAGTCGTATAAAGGGGCATCAAGTGTCCCGGAGACCCATAGTTTCTACCTAACACTTTCATGGCCATCTTAACAGACTGCAAGTGTTTCACTGAAAACAGTAACAAACTGCTACTGTTCCACTGAAAACAAAGCATTGTTCTGTTGGCAAGATGTGGTGTATAAACCTAGATTTATCCCCCAATCAAACTGTTGTGACATTCAATGTATTACATCTCTTCAGTCTCCCAATCCAATGGTTTTAATGACATACAACTTCGTGTAGCTACCATGTGCCTGGGATGGTGATTCTAAAGCAAGCTCTGTCACATCTTAGGAATTTCCAATAGTCTCAAGGTTGCCGTGACATTGTTCACAAAATTTAAATTGATTCGGTCACTCATTTCGGAAGAAAGGTAATACTTTTAATTAATTACCAACTAGTAATTTATGAATAGTTGCAAGAATGATTTTTGTACTTTGTTAGCATCTATTGTTCCCATTGAATACCTGCCTCTTTAAATGATTCAAGGCCATAATGCCTAATTCATCATTCACATCAATTTCTCTGCCTTAGTTTTACTATTTCTAAAGTATAGAAAAGATTAATCTCCTTAGCGATGTTTATTTACACACAGAGATGTGGGGAGTTAAAAAATTATAGCTAATAAAGCACTCTGAATACAGTAGGTGATAATTATTATTATTTTATTTGGAAATGTAGTGTTTCCATTAAGGTACCCTGGGATCTTTGTGTTCTGGTAGATAATTATGTAATTAATTCTAAAACAGTGAATAACACTTGATATTTCTAAAAGTAAGTGTTGCCCTAGTTTTCCGTGCCACACCTCAGTTGGAGCACAATATTTCATTTTCCACCATTCCTTTATAAAATTACATGACGTAGGCTGGGCGTGGTGACTCACGCCTGTAATCCCAGCACTTCGGGAGGCCGAGGCAGGTGGATCATCTGAGGTCAGGAATTTGAGACCAGCCTGACCAAAACAGTGAAACACCATCTCTACTAAAAATACAAAAATTAGCTGTGTGGTGGCGCATGCCTGTAGTCCCAGCTACTCAGGAGGCTACAACAGGAGAATTGCTTGAACCCGGGACACAGAGGTTGTAGTGAGCCGAGATCACGCCACTGCACTCCAGCCTAGGTGCCAGAGTGAGACTCCATCTCTAAAAAACTAAATACATAAAATAATATAATGTAATTTAAGGCCAGGCACAGTGGCTCAAGCCTGTAATCCCAGAACTTTGGAAGGGTGAGGCGGGCAGATCACCTGAGGTCAGGTGTTCGAGACCGGCCTGGCCAACATGGTGAAACGCTGTCTCTACTAAAAATACAAAAATTAGCTGGGCATGGTGGTGCGTGCCTGTAATCCCAGCTACCTGGGAGGCTGAGGCAGGAGAATCGCTTGAACCCAGGAGGCAGAGGTTGCAGCGAGCTGAGATTGCACCACTGCACTCTAGCCTGGGCAACAGCAAGACTCTGTCTCAAAAAAAATAAAAATAAAAACAAAATAAAAATAAATAATATGATGCAACTTAAATGATGTATAAATATTTTCTCTCTAGGATTTTTCTGCCTCTGTAACTACAAAAACTTTCAAGTGATTCATGACCATTTATGAAACTGGCAGTTTCTACTTATAGCTTTTAATGAAGTATGAGCACCACAAAACAATCTGATATACGAACTGCCAAAGATAAAAGTACAGCTTTGTTTGGCCTTAACCGATATCTAACCTGTTTCCTGTTAAGATATATTCAAGTACAAAATCTCATACCAATTTCGTAACTGCTCAACAAAATATATTTATGCTCAGTATTTCATTGGGCTAGATAATGGGGCAAATAGTTTTTGAAACTTATCAAGTCTATGAAAATACTATTTGGCTTAAAAAATGGCACAGGTTTGGGAGGCCGAGGCGGGAGGATCACAAGATCAGGAGTTTGAGACCAGCCTGGTCAATATAGTGAAACCCCATCTCTACTAAAAATACAAAACTTAGCTGGGTGTGGTGGCGGGCGCCTGTAGTCCCAGTTACTCAGGAGGCTGAGGCAGGAGAATCGCTTGAACTCGAGAGGCAGAGGTTGCAGTGAGCCAAGATCGCGCCACTGCACCCCAGCCTGGATGACAGAGTGAGACTCCATCTCAAAAAAAAAAAAAGGAGGCCAGGCTACTCACACTATTAATAATAGAACTTATTCTAACCCTCTCCAATTTCTATAGGTAGCAAGGATACACACGTCATGAAGAATAAAGCCTACCTGTAATTATGATGAGGTTACATTCTGATAAACCCATTAACTTATTAAAAAAAAGAAATAGACTGGGTGTGGTAGCTCATATCTATAATCCCAGATATGAGCTCATATCTATAACTCACTTTGGGAGACCAAAGTGGGAGGATTGGTTGAACCCAGGAGTTTGAGACCAGGCTGGGCAACATAGGGCGATTTCATCTCTACAATAACCTTAAAAAATTGGTAAAGCATGGTAGTGCCCTCCTGTCATCCCAGCTGCTCAGGAGGCTGGGGTGGGAGGATTGCTTGAGCTGGGGAGTGGGGGGTGTAGAGGTTGCAGTGAGCTGAGATTGTGCCACTGCATTCTAGCCTGGGCGACAGAGTGAGGCCCTGTCTTAAAAAAGATAAAAAGCATGATTTTGTTTGATCTAAGTCCTTAGGTTTATACCTACTTCAATAACAAAATAATTATAGCAAAAATAAATCAGATTTGTTAATGTCTTGTAAAGAGTTGATACCAGGCCAGGCACGGTGGCTCATGCCTGTAATCCCAGCACTTTGGGAGGCCGAGGTGGGTGGATCACTTGAGGCCAGGATTTGAGACCAATCTAGGCAACATGGTAAAACCCCGTCTCTACTAAAA